CAAAACTTGGAAAAACGATTTTACTTGATTCGTTTATGGAAATCAAAGTAATTTTTTAAAGTGAAATTTTTATCTGTGGGTTTTTCCTATAAAAACAAAATCACTTAGGACAAATTGAAAAATCCCTCCTTGGCCATTTATCTAACAACCTATGGTTATTGATAAGTGACCCTTTTCTAAGATCCCTACTGAAGGAAACTTGAGAGAGAATAAACCACCATTTCCTTCACTTTTGGGGTCGGAGGTTTTCCTCGTATTTTATTGACGTAGTTACTTCGTATAACAAGGAAACTAGATACTTTAATGAATTTATATTGAATAGAGTTTATAGGAAAATATTCTCACAATATTTATTGGATTCAAAAACATATTTATTACGGAAAACGCAATATGAATACCCTCTTCAAATAAAATATGTTTTCTAGTTCAACCGACCTCATCACTTATACCGTTTCTGACATACTTGAAACTTTCTTCAAGACACCTTGCTTGTATAATGTATAGGAGGATTGAAACATAGGACCATATACAAGGCAGCACTTTCATAATAATAATAAATCTATTATGCCCTAAAAAAATCAACTTTTTATAACGAATAAATTTGAAAAATGTCATAAAAAGTTCCACTTCTCTTACTTTTAACAATCGTAGCGTAATATTTCCAGAGGCTCCCGGTAAAACTTTAATGATGTTTCGAAAACTTTTTGAATCGATTTATTCCCTAATTATACCCCAGGGAAACCTATATAGTAGGTACAAAACATCTCTATATCTCTCACCTAATCCCCATCAGCCGTTTACTTTTATATTAAGACTTGAGGGATTCAGGAGGGATTTCAAAGTGTATCGCGTAACTATATATAAAACGGTGAATAATTTATAACGCAAAGGTCGATACCGGGAGTGGAATATTGTCTCGAAATTAGATTTATCTTTGTTGGTAGAAATAAAAACTGAAAAAAATATATAAATACTTTCCGTCGTTCAAGCACCTGTTTATCTCACACACCACAAGCTTATGGAAAATTCACTGTCACGCGTTTACATATGTAAATTCCGTTTTATATCCTGTTCCCGTTTTAAGCTTCGAAAGGTCGCTTTTCACTTCTTTTTCTGTACTATATATTGAGGCATGTTTTTTCCATGAAAATATTTTTTACTTAAATACTTTTGATGTTGAAGGAAAAAAGAAATCTAGGCTTGGGATTACTAGGGTTATTAGTATTCAAATTAATTTTTTTTCAAACTCTTTTCAAGAAACAGTGATTTTACAAGCGAATATCACAGTATAATTTCTTTGAAGCCAACGCGTTCCAACATAGTTCACATGTGCCGTTGGCTAGCGTTAGAAATTTGGTTTTGTATGCGTCTCAAGCAAGGAGAATTCCAAAGGTCGCAATTTCGGACTTCTATAAAGAAACTCTCAGCATGAGCTTACTTTCAGAACAACGTCTGCAAAAAGTCCTGTCAAAAAAACAACTCGAATGGCATTGGTCTGCTAAAGAAGCCAAACCGAGAGTACTGCAACAACCACAAAAAAAGTCTGGAGGTCTTTTGTCGGAACAAAAGAATGCTCATAATTGTGCTCGACTATGCTCAGTGGTTCTTTAGCTTGGGGTGGTCCTTGGTGTTGGTACAGTAAAGATAGGGCGCCACTAGTTTGTATACAATTATTTTGATCATCAAAGAATAGCCAAACTAGACACTATTCAAATAATTAGCTATTATTTAAAAAGATAAATGCAAAAATCTGAAAAGGTAAAACAAATCCAATACCTATCTGACATTTAACCCCTTCAATAAAAACACAAGTTTTGGAATTTTAAAAACAATAATTTATTGACCAGATGGCGAACTTGTTGTTCATTAACATTAAAACAAATAAATTGTTTAAAGGTTTTTATTGTTCAGTATCCAATTTTATTAAAAAAATTAAGCAGCTTACGGAAAGCAAAACTTAATTTAAATAGGTATATAAAAAGATTGAAATTTGAAACAATTAAATAGATACCTACAATGAGGCTTACCTAAGTGTAAGTGTTGAAGTAAAAATAAAAATAACATTCAATTTTTGACTGAAAGTCAATCAAATCGATAAAAAAATCATCAATGCGGAAAGGTGATAAATAATCTCTAGGCAGTTTTAAATATCAAAAACCTGCTAAGTGAAATAAAGGGGTCAGGGTTTCCGGAAGAGCTCAACCTTCTTACCTTTAAAGTTCAAAATAGGTAAACATAAAACTTAAATTTGACTACCTAAAGATTTCATATTAGTTTACCTTGTAAAACTACCACATTATTGATTTGAAATTGAAAATTAAATTAACCTTTTAAAGGTTAATGAATCCACAATATATTATATCGATCAGTGCTCGATATTAAAGAAATAAATTTATAATAATTTTAATAATGCATATTTATTGGATAATAAATAATGATAAAGAAAACGATAATAAAAGCTACTATCTGACTCTGATAATAATTAATTAATTAAATTAATAATTATATTTAAACAGTAGTTAGCTATACGGTAAACAATTTAAGTCGGTAATTTAATCTACATAGATATTAATTAGCTAATAAAGCTAAACGATAGGGGGCGATAAGGAAAAGGTAAAAATAAGTTACGGTAGTTAAGATGGCACGTTTAAGACACCCATAGGTAAGTAATTATACAAGCCTGGACGGAATCCTTGTAAAGCCTCGGAAGCATTCACAAATTTGAGCTCTGGAGGTACCAACCTTTCTGGAGACAACTAATAATGGCTGGGAATCAACTTCTTACAGGACACAAACTTTCCTTGAACAGGGGGTCTAGATTTGCTCCGAGTTTCCAGGACAGCGTGGTCTCAAATTCGTTAAATTTCACCTGGAGAAATGCAGGCACGGATTTTTCGCTTAAATTTACATACCTGAACGGCCGATAGTAACCTCACTCCCAAAAATCTTCACAAAAATCAACAATCGGTTGATTTTCCAGGAAACTTTCAAGTAGACATGAGCGAGCACTCTTCTGGGTAGTTATTCGGTAAGAATATTGACTCGATGGCCAAAAATAAAGGTAAAGTTTCAGGATTCCTAATCACTTCTAAAAATCTGGACCACCTGTTCGGTCCCAAGACAAAAGAGAAAAAGTACCTAAATTGGTTCTGTTTTTTCTTTTCCTTGTCTGTCAACTTTTTCAAAATTATAAAAATGACAGCGTTACAGGTGGCTCGGAAACAACAGGAAATAGTACTTTTACATGACATATAAAAATAATTAGGAACAATTAGGTGAGTATAATATATTTTTGTGACATTTCGAATGTTACAGGTCTCACTGAAAAGAAATCCTGTTTTTGTTACTCGTTAAGCAATATACCTGCTATTAAAACTACGAGTGTGCGGTAAATTGATTTTTACCGCATTTATGTGCAAGTGGAAAGTGTAGCACTTTACCGCAAGTAGATTTTAGTATTTATAATCAAAATTCCCTTCTGCCGTTACGTGCGGTAAATTTTCCTTTTTCGCATTTCTTAGCTAAATAGGTAACTATTACGAATAGTTGAAACAAAAATTTCATGAGTTTTTAGAAAAGTTGTAAAAAATCACTTTCCTTGATTTTCTCATAGGTATGTTTGTCTCAGACAAAGTCAGTCTTGAATATAACCAATAGTAGGTGAAGTCTATCCAACGATATAAGAACTGTCGTAAAAGTCAATAATAGTATATTATTCAACGAGCGGGTAATGATAGCTATTATTCACGAAGGATGAAGTTTGCACTACGAGCCGCAGGCGAGTAGTGTAATCATCTGAGCCATTGCCCACGAGTAGAATACTAGCATAGCCAGTGCCCACGAGTAGAATACTATACTTTTTTTATGATTAATATATGATAGGCACGAGTTATACGGTTTTTTATTTAATTTTCGTAACAAAATTAATTGCCAATACTAATACTGACAGCTGGAGGACAAAGTGAGGTTAGGTTAGCACAAGTCTTGTCTAAATCAGCTGTATTTTTTGTAGGAAAGTTTTGGGGTAGTTTTCATTTTTTCTATTCTTTATGCTTTTTGAGGTGGTGAATCCGAATCTGAATCTGAATCAAGAAATGCAAAAAAAGTAAAAAAAAATGGTAGTTTTGGCAGTCTTGTGCGTATAACTCGATAACTATCAATTTTTTGGAAAAAACACCTCTATCCAAAATCAAAGCAAGTAAAATTTTCTATAAACCATAAACTATAAAAGTTAAATTTTTTTGTAGGGCAAACTGTTTCGGCTCAAGCGCCAGTTGAAAATGGTCCTATTTTATCTTTCTCCACAAAAACCCATATTTTACCTGCAAAACTTTTAATTTATTACCAAATAACATTATTTCCATCACTTGAGTCATATTTATTGATTTTATTATCATAATATCATATTATCTGAGATAGGCCTATATCTAGAGCAGCGGTTCCCAACCGGTGGGTTTTTGGAGGGGTCGCAATGCCAATATATATTTTTGGTTTTTTATTTATTAATGGGTAGGGGGGGTCGCGACCTTATGAGCAAATCTGTAAAAGGGTCGTGACAGTAAAAAGGTTGGGAACCACTGTAAAATATACCCTATACCTAAGTTCAACTGTTTTGGAAAGATTGACAATTGAAAATTGACTTTCTGCAACTTTGACTGGCTGTAAAACCTAAACGGTTAATTTTAGAGGCAAACCGAATTTAACTATTATATAAACTATCATTTGAAACGAAGTTTGAATTCAATCGGCGATTAAATTTAACTGGAATTTTTAATTATGGCAACCAGGGGTCGTATTTTCGAATATTCTCGCATACGAAATTTGATTCGATTTCGAATACTCCCCATTTAATTTACATTACTGTCAATCAAATTTCGTATACGAAATGTACTCGAATGAATTCGAAAATACGACCCCAGCTCGTGTGCACGGAGGGTTATATTCCAAAAACTTGAAACATCAGCCGCTTTGCTAGTCTGAGTCTGATTGGCCGTATAATTTCAAATAATCCACTGGACACTACCAGCTTTCTCAGCCTCAATAATTTTAGTAATGCCATGCGACATCACCTTTACACTGTGGTATTCGGTACACCCCAAACGTTTTGCATTATACAGCTCATAAATACCATGCATGTTGATGGACTCCTCTATAATTTCTTTTACCCCCATATCATACTTGGCAGCCAGCTCTACGAGTTTATGCCTGTCAGCAGCAAGTTTGGGTATTTTGATATGAAAATACGGGCAAATTGCTTGACCCACATTGGAAAGACAAGCCGTCAAGGTTCCAAATCGCTCATCAGTGGTAAATTCCATCCATTCTTGGAGATGTTCAAGTGCCCTTATTAACCTTTTAAAGGTGTATATTTTGTATTCGCACCCCTTGAAAACTTCATTCAGGCGATACTCTATTTAGCAAAGAAAACTTTAACAATAGAAATCCGGGTCTCACTCGTCCTTGAAACCAGGTGTTACTCTATTTTAAAGAAAAAAAAAATAAAAAAATAAAAAAAGGCCGTCTCTTTTGATGTCATTTCGCCTTGTGTGTCAGGAGTCACTCTATTTTACAAAGGAGCAGGTGGGTGGCATTTATCCTTATTCGCATCACTTGGAAGTTTAGTTCAGGTGATACTCTATTTAGCCAGCGGTTCCCAACCGGTGGGTCGCGACCCCTAAGGGGGTCGCATAGGGTTTTTGGAGGGGTCGCAATGCCAATATATATTTTTGGTTTTTTATTTATTAATGGGTAGGGGGGGTCGCGACCTTATGAGCAAATCTGTAAAAGGGTCGTGACAGTAAAAAGGTTGGGAACCACTGCTAGAGGATAGAGAACGGCTAGGAAGAAGAAGAAGAAGAGATCATATTATTCAAGGCGTTTTCTCTTGGAAGGTCCTGCATAATGAAACCAATTGACCCCATAAACGACATCAGTAAATGGAAATAATGAAATCCTCCTAGCCTCAGGGATACAACATTTGAAAGAGCAGGATCATCCAGTCGGCTAACAAGAATGTCTCGTGCCTTGAAATAGAGGGGCTAGTCAAATGTCTCTAGGCAGGTAGCTTGGTTCAAAGATTTGGTCTTCTCTACTCCGGTCAACAATGCTGTGAATATTGTAACATATTCACTTGGAGGAGCATTCATAAATGGCTGATATCTAGTAAAAGTTACTTCATATGGTATGTTTCTCCCATAAGTCCATTCCATCCAAAGAGATCAGGTATGTCTATACTTTTTCCATAGTGCCACAGAAGATCAGGCATAGAGGGGATCGCAGTTTCATTCGATGTAAAAATTTCATTAAGATCGTTTATCTTAAATTCAGCTAAGCTTTTAGGTTTTGTTCTCTCAAAATGTATCAGTTTAATTGCTCCATAACTTCCGGAAACCTCAGCAGGCGAATGTGTTTCTCCGATCATTTTCAGTCGAGGAATGAATTATTGATTGGGCGCTACTGCATGTTTTGGGGCAATACAAGAAATGCCACCCATGACGTGAAAGCTGTTGTATCAGTCGATCGTATGTACGTTGAAATCCGCGTTATCGTAAACGTGCTGTGAAAAGCATGGCTGATTAACTTTCAGTGGATCACCCTTGATTGCTGATGCTTCCAGGTGTACAGCTTCTGTATAAGATGAACAAAACCCCAATAAAGACACTACGTCGACTAATTTTCTTGAGCAGTACTTCTTGTACAAAAACACTGCTAACCCCAACAAAAACAGGCGAGATAAATGATCTAGGACAACAAGACGAGATAAACGATATAGGACAACGAAACTATGCTCCATCGCTGTGCTCTTTTTCTTCCAAATATCATGGTCCCCACGTTTTCTGTTTAGTACAACTGTTTCCAAGAATGTACGGAGGGTTTATGGAATGAGTTCTTCATTTTTATCTTAAAACTTATCAGGTGGGGGGTACTGTTCTGTGTCATAAGCCTGGCTCCGGATATCCTCAACAATAATTGCAGCCGTTGCCTTAACGATTCGGAATCTTTCCTTCAGTTCGTTTTTCAATGCCTGCTAGTACCTAGCATCAGTCAAAATTTCACATCCTATGTTTTTGAAACATACTACCTGCGCCTTGTTTGGAGAAAAAGTGATTAGTATATCGCTTCCATATTTTTCCAGTATGAGCTTTGACTGTTTTTTTTTTTATCAGGACAATAACCACCTTTGATTTCGTCAATCAGCTCTTCCAACGAAAACTGGCACTCTCCATCACTATTCTCAAGATAACAGTAGACATCTTCCATTGCTGCTTCAACATAATTGGCGAATGGACCTCTCGGTCTCTTATCTTGAATTTTTGGGCGATTGTACACTTTTTTCATACATAAACTATGATACTGACAATCAGAGGCCACCAAGTCTGAGGCAGGTAAAAGACGCTTGATTATGGCTTATCCGTACTCATCACTGCGTTCTGATGCTCTTTTTATAATGGTTTCCTCGACCTTCAAATTTCGAACCTGATACACAATATTGCAATTGGTTTTCTTTTCTCTTTGTTGTTCTATAAACTTGGGGGTTATGAGGAGGCCACAATGAGTTTTGGTAGAGAAATCAGTTGAACGTCTTTTAACCTGTTTCCTTCCTCGCTCCACCTTCTCCAAATAAGCGACAATCATTATTTCATTAGTATAATTCTTACGACACCGCTCATGAACCACAACTTCCGCTTTTTTGCTTAGCTTAACATGCTCACCATCTCTCCTCTTCTTACTTGACACAATAAACGTATTAAAACCTTTTTCCCGCAACTCTTCATTATCTATTACTTAATCACAAATAAAACACACGATCGAGGGCATTTTTAACAGTACGCGTGAACAAACTTCATAAATCGGTCGTTATCTTTGTATTCTAACTCGGAACCCTTCGGCAGTTGACCACTGCAAACCCCAGATTCGGATTCAGTACTCCAAAAAACCTAAAGAATGGAGAAAATCAAAACTACCCCAACACTTTTCCGCGAGAGATTTTTATAAGCACATATTTATTGTACTAAAAGTAATGAAGTGCAAATGTGTTTCTTATTTGTTTTAATGGGGTTTCAATACCTGACGAGTAGGGATCAACCATTTACCCAATACGATGCAAAATCTGTCACCTAGGTAAGCCATCAAGTACCCAACATTGAGATCCAATTATAAGAACCCAATGCCGTTGCTTCATGTAATTTCTAATTTATATTATTGATTTATAACAAAATTATCGAATATAAGTACGGATGATATAACAATCATCTTACTAAAATCAATTGGCAGATTTGACCCGTATTTAGAAACAATATTGTCCTTTTCACTGCATCTAACAGCAAAAAGCCTTTATCATCTTTTTTCGAAATACTCCATAGGTACATCTGCCTGTTGAAACGTGCCCATATATTTTTGTGTGCCAAGCGAAATCGGCCAAATCCCTATGCAAATATGTGGACACGTTTCGAATTAAAAGTTCAGTTCGGCTTAACCCCCGCGGGACTTTCTTGTTTTCTGTTCAATTGTTTCAACCCTTTCATTCCTCATTGGACTACAGGCAAAACAACCTAGTCATAAAATGAATAGGATTTTTTCAGTCTGCGTAGGGATACCTGTACATATTGGGAATTTTCATTTTTGTCATTCATTATTCTTGGCTGAAATTTTTCGAACAAACAATATAGGTACCTACATATTTACATAATATGTATTTGTACATATACACATACGAATTTGAAGAAGTTTTGTTTTAATTTAATTCGTAAGGACCAAAGAAGCATTTTGTCTCATTCAGTTTCATTTCCCATATTCCTGAACAGTTTTCAACCCCAAAAGCAGTGGCTCCAACACCGATCCTTGAACAACTACACTCTGAACTAAGTGTCTGCTTGACATTTCTCCATTTTCTCGTACTTGGTAGTATCGTTCATCCAACGACTCTCTTAATCAATGTCAGCAGTTTTCCACGCCCTCCAAAGTGCTCCAACTTTCCACATAACAGTTTATGTGGCAATTTATCAAAGGCTTTCTCATAGTCCAGGAAAACCACGTATGAGGTTTGAGCTATGTCATGGTTTACTGTCCAGTCACTTAAACATTCGAGCATGTTGGTTGTTTGGGAGTTTTGAAAGAAACCCATGTTTGAATGATGGAATGAAATTATTAAAAAAAAAAAAAAAACGTTATTTAAATCCTCAGAACCACTGAGTCTACATGACAATGTAGCAGACAACCGGAAAAAGTTTATCCAGAAGTTTGATCTATTTATGACTGCCATAGGTTCGGACGAAAAGAGCGAGGTAAAAAAAGTTGCTATATTTTTAAGTATAATTGGTGCGACTGAAAAAGCCTCATTGACGTCTATAAGAGACAAATTTGAAGCCCATTGTGCCCCGTTAAAAAAATTGATTTTTGAGAGATGTTTTAAACTCTAGAGTTCAAAAAGAAGGTCAGAGTTTTGATAGTTTTGTTACGGAATTAAGAATTGCAGTTAAGTCAACAGAATACAAGGACCCAGATGATATGGTGAGAGACCGAATTGTGTTAGCAATATCAGGTAAATCAACACAAGAAAGACTTCTGCAAGAGCCGAAACGCCCGAAACTAACCTTGTAAAAAGCAGTGGATCATTGTAGGGCTGTAGAAGCAAGCAAGTCCCAAGCTCAGGCTCTAGCAAATGAAGCCTCTGTAAGTGCTATCAGACTCAGGAAAGGTTCAAGCAGAAGTTATGTGTCTTATGGTCAGCAGGAGAAATTCAAATGCAGTTTTTGTGGCTACAAACATGTTAGAGGCAAATGTCCTGCATAAAGTGAAATTTGTAATGAATGCCAAAGAAGAAACCATTTTGCTAATGTATGCAAAAAGAAAGAGTCTAGGAAAGAAGTGAGGTGAAAGTGTCAGGATTGAGTGAAAATGTTGATAATAACCAGAGTAATAGTGACTCTGATGATTTTATATTGGGTCATTAGTGAGGAGTGTTGATGAGCTGACGTCGAATGCTGATATCGTGTGGACCAAGGAAATAGTTGCGGAAGGTACAGCTATTGAATTTAAACTGGACACAGGGGCTGAAGTAAGTGTGATTCCTAAACATATTTTAAAAAAGCATAGCATTAAGAAGGACATTAAAGAATCTCGAATAACTTTAATTTCATATGACAGCCCTGATTTTAGAATTAAGCCCAAGTCTCACTATTGTGTAATATTAATAACAAGGTGACATATTTACCGTTTGTTATAGTTAATAGTCAAAATCAAACGCCTTTGTTAGGTTTATCAGGTTGCTTGGAGTTAGTTAAACGAGTTGATTATGTTCATTATGTTAATTTTAATA